TGTCAGAGTATTTTATCTCATTAACAGGAAAAGAAGCTGATACAAGAGAAATCATAGACTGCTCTCAGAGAAAGTGATGTATGAGAGCCAAACTGAGCAGCAATGCTCACACTTAGATGCTGGGACCTTGGAAGCTGCACACCCACACCTCCCACTAGTCAGGAAAGCTAGCTTGGATACTGTTGGAGGGGATTCTCTCAGGTCTGAATTCCAAAGTCTGAGGTGACTTGGGGATGAACCCAAAGCAATCCCTGTTGGAACACCTACATAAGAAATCTTCTCAAACCATCTGCCTATGCTTGCCACACCTCTCTGCCGCCCTCTGACTCACCCTGCTCTCCACTTCACTCATCTGTATACAGGCCAGTTTCCCTTTCCCTCATTCTGAGCTCACTGAGGCTCAGAGTTAGGCTTTATTTAATTCTGATTTACTAACCTCCAGCCCACAGTGGTTGACGTGAATTGAATTAAGGAAAGGAATCTGAAGACCAGAACTTGGAAGCAAACCCCACTTTTATACGGATGGTTCTTCATTTGAATTTGAAGATGAGCCAGAGAGTGTTGATCTGGTGAGTACCCTAAGAAATAAGATATTTTCTCAGTAAACATAAGCTCAAGGGCTGGAAGGTATACATAATACTTCCCTTGTGGGAGTGGGTGGTTTTGTATTTGTATGTGGATGGATATGTGGTACATGTGCCTGTGGATGCATGCATCTGTGTGCACATATGTGTTGAGGCCAGAGGTAAATGTTGGGTGTCTTCTTCAGTCACTCCCTACCTTATTTTATTTTTGAGACAGGGTTTCACTATGTAGCCCAGGCTGACTTGGCATTTACTATGTACACCAGGCTGGCCTTGAACTCACAGAGATCCACCTCTATCACCCTAATGCTAGGGTAAAAGGCATGTGCCACCACACCTAGCCTCCACCTTATTTTTTGGAAACAGGTTCTCTCACTGAACCTGGAGTTCCCCAATTTCACAGTGAGCTTCAGGGACCTTCCTGTCTCTGCATCTCCAGCACTGGAAGTATATATATACACACCATACCTGGCATATTTTACATAGGTGCTGGGTATCTCAACTTGGGTCCTGGTGCATGCATGGCAAGTACTTACCAACTGAGCCATCTCCCCAGCCCACACTTCTTTTGATTGCTCTCCTGCTTTAGATGAAGTTGAAATTTGTTACTAATCATGCTGAATACCTACAAACCTTTTGCTGGTTTGTTTTGGTTTGGAGACTGGGTCTCCATGGAGCCCAGTGTGGCCTCCAACTTGCAGTACAGCAGATGGTGACTTTGACCTTCTGCTGTTCCAGTTTCTGCCTCCCAAGTGCTAGTATTACAGGTCTGTGCCACCACACTGGGTTTTATGCAGTACTGGGGAGGAAACTTAGGGTTTTGTGCTACTAGGTAATCACTCTACCAACTGAACTACATCCAAGCCCATCTATAAAGTTTTTGATTGTCTATTTGCCCTGGAAACTCCTCATTTTAAAAATCTTTTGCATGCATGCATGTGTGTGTGATGTATGTGTTTGGTGGGGTACATGCATGGCAGGGCATCCCTGGAAACTCCTCATTTTAAAAATCTTTTGCATGCATGCATGTGTGTGTGTGTGCATGTGTGTGTGATGTATGTGTTTGGTGGGGTACATGCATGGCAGGGCACGCCTAGAGTCAGAGGACAGCATTCGGGGGTTGGTTCTCACCTCTACCTCATTTGAGGCAGGGCTCTCTTTATTCTGCCAGTTTGCTGCCTGTTCCAGGCTAGCTGGCCTATGAGCTTCTGGGCATTCTCCTGTCTCTGCTTCTCATGTCACGATGCCAGGATCACAGATGTACATTACCACATGGTTCCTTATGTGGACTCTGGGAATCTGAACTCATCAGGCATGCAGGACAGCAAGCCCTTTACATACTGAACCACCAGACCTTCCAAGAAGTCATTCCAGGTCCTCCAATTCTTGACTGTGTGATAACTGATGACAAGTGAGGATGACTGTTTGCCTAATTATCAAGTTTCCTCTCTCTCTCCAAATACGTGCCCATACTCCAGAGTGACTGTTGACAAATTCTCCAAACTCAGAATTTATTTGGACACCTGGAATTTGAGTTTCTACCTCTCCTGTTCCTTCTCCTTTTTGGATATAAAGACTCCAGGGACAAGTGTGTTTGCAGTGTGTGACCATATCAAATGAACTCTGTTTTCCAAGTCTGAAATTCTCATAGAGTTTTCTTTTTCTTTCTTTCTTTACTTTTTTTTTGGTGGTACTGAGGATCAAACCCAGGGCCTTATGTGTGCTAAGCCATACCCCCAGCCCCCTAGTAGCTTCTCAGACACTATAAAGTCTATATGGGTGAATATATTGTGGTATTGTGGTTCATGAAAATGGTTTCAAGTTAGACAGTTTGAATTTCTTAATTGAAGTTGAAGAGACCTTCGGGTAATATGTGAATTGAAAGGAGAGGAACTTCCAGTTGTGTCTCAAAGGTGACCCTTTTAAAGACATATTTGTTAGTTGTGAGTGACAGAGGTTACAGAGCCAGGCGGGACCATTTCTAAAGTGTTAAACTGACCTTCAATAACAAGGTCATGAGGTCGGCTGGGTTGTGGTTGGTAGGGAACCCTTTGCCTTTTGTGGAGAGCTTTTAAAAAGCTTCAACTTTTTGTCCCTCCCTCTCTTCTTTCTGGTCTCACTCTGCTGGCTGTTTTCAAAAAACCTCCAGGATTTGTAATCTGACTCATGGGCTGACCTACCCAGGATAGGGGCACATGGACAGCCAGACGCTGTGGTCCAAGTCTCATCCCATTTAGTAGGATGGCAGCAGCCAGGAGCCTGGAAAGGAACCCCTTACCCTCCCCACAGTGGGAGTTGTGTAAGGAAGGCAGTCTTCAGACCTCTCCATTCCTCCCTGTAGCTTTTCTGTCTGAGACCCTTTAGATTAGTGTCTCTGATGACCTCAGATAGGTCATTCACACTTCATGGGATCCATTTTTTTCTCATTGACAAAATGAGAAATTTGGACTGCATGATATAGTCTTGATTTTTATATTGTTAGTTTGGTTTGATAAAATGCTGGGCCTTTGGGGGTGGTTGTTCCTGATTAGTAAAATCAAAGACAGGCCACATTTTGTTTTCCATAATACATGTATCTCTCCAGGAATGAAGATGTTGACTTGTTTTTGCACACTGTTCTCTGTATATTGTTAATGGCTTTGTACAAGGACCAGTAAGACACTGGAGGCTCCTGCTCCAAGGGAAAATCCTTTGCATTTAGTCCCAGAGTTCTCAAGAATTCAGTCTGAGTGGGGCCAGTGAGATGGCTCAATGGGGAAAGGCAATTTGCCGCCAAGCCTGATGACCTAAGTTCCATTACTGGAAGCCCCTCCCCACCTCATGGTGGAGAAAACCAACTCCTGAAAGTTTTCATCTCACTTTCACACATGCACTGTGACACACATGCCCATACATCACAGATGAATCCACACATACACACATGCACCCAAATAAAATGAAATTTGAAATTTTTTTTTAAAGAATCTAGTATGAAGTCAGATGTGGTGGCACATGCCTTTAATCCCAGCACTCAAGAGGCAGAGGCAGGCAGATCTTTGTGAGTTCCAGGCCACCTGGGGCTACAGGGAGACCCTGTCTCAAAAAGACCAAAAAAAAAAAAAGTATCTAGTATGAACATCTAAGCCCTTACACACTGGATATGCTCAGCACTTTAAAAAAATTTTTATGGGGCTGGAGAGATGGCTCAGCAGTTAAGAGCACTGACTGCTCTTGCAGAGGACCTGGGTTTGATTCCCAGCACCCACATGGCAGCTATGAACCATCCTTAACTCCAGTTCCAGGGGAATCTGATGCTCTCTTCTGACCTCCAGCGGCATTGCACGACAGGGTGCACTCACATACATGCAGGCAATACACTCGTGCACATAAAATTAAAATAAATAAAATAGTTTTAAAAAATTTTATGTGTATGAGTGTTATGCCTGTATATATTTAAGTGCACTTGTGTCATACAGTGCCCATGGAGGTCAGAGGAGGGCTTCAGATTCCCTGAAACTGGACTTGTGGATGGTTATTTGTTGCCATGGGGTGCTGGAATTTGGACCCTGGTCTCCTGAAAGAGCAACCAGTGCTCTAAACCACTGAACCATCTCTCCAGAGCTCCTGCTCATCACTTTAAATTTTTTTTAATTTATTTCTATTTTATGTGTATGAATGTTTTGCCAGCATGTATGTAAGTGCACTACATTCATGCAATGCTGCAGAGTTCAGAAGAGGGCATCAGATCCCCTGGAACTAGAGTTACAGTTGGTTGTTAGCCACCAAGTGGGTGCTGGGAATTGAACCTGGTTCCTCTGCAAGAGCAGCCAGTGCTCCTACCCACTGAGCCATCTCTCCAGCCCCTCAGCACTTGGTTTTATCTGCTTTCTCTGCATTCATGGTTCCACACTGAGGTAATCCCGCTTTACTACAATGCTTTCTTTGCTCTATAAATTCTTATAAAAGACAGCATATATTACACACTCATGAATATTCCCTTCTGGACATTTATGGCACACTTGGACAGACATCTTCTGAACAGAGAAATTAAGTACTCTGCTCCGCACACCTTAACTGATGTAGTGACATTCCCTCCTCACTAACTGCTCTCCATAATTAGAAAAAATTCTGCCAAGATCGTGCCTCGAATCCTTTTTTGCTTCTTTATTTTCTCTCTGGAAAGTCTGCAGGAATATTGAGTGGAATATTTTCCAGGCCCCCTAGCTGTAGAGATCTCAGCTCCCTGAAACCACAACTGTCTGTCTCTTTTGCCCACACACGGCTGGACAGTGGAAACCCAGAGCGTCCCCTCACCCCTCACCACACTGTGGAGTTTGCCCTCGAGGACTCTGTAGAAAGGCAGACAGGCTGTTCTCTGGCTGCCAGATGCTAATCTAGCTCCTTCCACCTCCGTTTTAGGAAAAAATACCAAGGAAGGAAGAGGAAGTGATTGTTTTAATGATTCAGGCCCCACTGACATCTAGTGCATATGCCGGGCAGACGAACTAGGAAGGGAGGACCCTGCCCTGGAATTTTAGACTTGTTTCCATCTGATTCAATTCAGCAAGTACAATTTCATCCTGCAAGCAATGGAAACACAGAAAGTGCATGAGACAGGTTCACAATCTAATGGCAGAAGAAAGACACATCCAGACCTTATACACGAGAGGAAAGCAACGGTGGGTGGCAAGGGAGGGGAGGCAGGGAATCACGGAGATAGGAGCCCTCCTGAAAGCACCAACAGGATGCAGCATTTTAACTCAGTCTTGAAGAATGGGTGTGATTTAGTGAACAGATCTTGGTAGGAGGCAGAGGTCACGGGTTGTATTAGTTACTTTTCTGTTGCTGTGATAAAAACATCGGGACCAAGGCAACTTACAGAAGGAAGAATTTATCTGGTTTGTGGTTCCAGAGCGCTGAGTCTGGCAGGGTTGGGGAGGCGTGGTGGGAGGCAGCTGGAGCCGAAAGCTGAGAGCTCAGATCTTCAGCCAGGCACAGGAAGCAGAGAGAGACAGACAGGAAGTGGGCAAGGTCATATACGCTGGAAGTCTGGCCCCAGAGACTTGCATCCTCCAGCAAGGCCACACCTCCTAAAGGCTCCACAACCCTTTCCAAACAGCCCACCAACTGGAACCAAGTGTTCAAATACTTGGAGCCTATGGAGGACACTCCCATTCAAGCCACCACATAGGGGAGAGTCCAGAAAGATAGAAACCGGTTTGAATAAAATCCTAGAGGAGGTAGTAGGTAGCTAAGAGGTGGACAAGCAAGAGTCAGCAAAGTCTTGGGCCATTAAAGTCTAGTTTGAGATGAAGAGAAGTGTGAAGTTCCCAGATGAAGAGAAGAAAAAGTCAAAGGCAAGATTGTTTAGGGAACTTAGCTTAAAATGATTTTTAGGGGCTGTGTAGCGTGCTTCACTAGCATGTACAAGAGCCTGGAGAGAGAGGGAGAGGGAGAGAGAGAGAATCTCTTAGTAATTGTTTAGGCACTATTAAGATTATGATAGATTAGACTAAATGCTGGGAAAGGAAATAAAACTTTTATATGTACAAGAATGCTTTTTAAAATTCGAGTGTGTGTGTGTGGAGAGAGGTCAAAGGACATGCTCAGGTGTCATCCTCAGGAACTCCACCCACCTCCTTTGTCGCTAGCTTAGTCTGACCACTGGGGCCAAACTGCCTGGCCTGTAAGCCCCAGGGATCCTCTTGTCTCGGCCTCCCCAGCTCTCGGATTACACGTGCATGCCCATGCCCAGGTCTGCATTTGCACAGGGCTTCTGGAATTGAACTCAGGACCTTGTGCTTGTGAACAGGCACTTTACCAGCTGAGCTTTCGCTTTCTCCAGTCTTATATGTGTAGTAATTTTTATGTGTGAGATGACTCTAAGGCTAAAGATAGTTACGGTGACAAGTTTAATGCTAGTCCAGCTCCTTACTGTAGTTGCTATTAATATTACTTTTTAACTTTTAATAACATTTATTGCTATTTCCCTAGTTACATGAAACTGAAGTACAAAAAAAGCAAGATTTGAAAAGCATTTTACTATGAAGAGGGGGAGGGAGGCATGTGCACTACCAAAACATGACCATGTGTGATGGTTAGTTTTGTCAGCTTGACACAATGCCAAATCACCCAGGAGGCAGGCCTCTGGGCCAGTCTGAGGGAGATTTTCTTGAGTACATTAATTGAAGTGGGAAAAGCTGCCCATTGTGGGTGGCATCTTTCCCTGGGCAGAGGATTCTGTAGGAGAGGAGAAAGTGAGCTGAGCACTGCCGTGCATCATGAATTCACTGCTGTCTGCTCTTGATTGTGACGGGATGTGATGGGACTTAGCTGCTTCAAGTTCCTGCCACCTTGATTTTCCCTCAGTGAGGAACTGTCACGTGGAATTGCCAGCCAAATAAATCCTTTCTCCCTAAAGTTGCTTTGGTCAGGGTATTTTATCACAGCAACAGGAAACAAAGCTAAGACACTGCTTTGAAATGTTAGAAGCCTTTCCCCTACTCTGAAAGCAAGCAATGTCCTCTGTCCATCAAAGGAAGAATGGACAGGGAAGAGGAGATACTGGGGTAAAGGGAGTGTTTATTATTTCACTTGGCTAGGCATTTGGTGAAGTGGAGCTCATTGTATGGAAAAGATAACTGGAAATGTGAAGTTGGGACTCAAAAATATGTGACTCTGGATAGCCAAAACCAAGAGAAAATTCTTTTTTCTCTACACATGTCAAAGGGGAGAGAGAAATCAATCAAGTAAGATTTTTGGGATTAAGCACTGTGCTAATTACCCCTAGGGAACAGACAGGAAGTTTGCAATTTAGTTCTAAGAATCTTTTTGCAGTCTAGCCCCAGGCTCCCTCTGTCGCTCTCCTCCTTCATGCTCTTTTGCCTTCACAGCCTTCCCGGACCACTCCTCAGCTTTTGCGGGCTTCTTCCCTAGAGCAAAATGCCTTCAAGGCTCTCTCCTTTCTCAGCTGCAGCTCCCAGTCATCCTTAAAGACAATCAAATGTCTTCTCTTGACATTCCCTGTTGGCAGCAGTGAGATAGCTGTTTCTCCCAGTCTGTTTCACACTGACTGTGAAAAATCTGAGTGCAGGGACTGAACCATCCACACAATACACCTAGCATAGTGTTTGGTGCATGGTAGGTAGTCAGTAGGTATTTATGGATTGAATGAATAAATGATCTAAGTATTCAGAGCTGTAAGTGAAAGAAACGATGGTATCTGAGCAGTCAATAATAGTAATAAACAACTTATTGTTTCAAATACTTTGTAAAGGATTCATCTTCATTTTCTTATTTAATCCTATCCACAAATTGAGCATGCCTTTTCCTTTATTTTTTAAAAGTTTTATTTATTTTTATTTTATGTGTATGAGTGTTTTGTCTACATGTATGTAAGTGCACCATGTGCATGCAGTGCCCACAGGGACCAGAAGAGGGCATTGGATCCCCTGGAACTGGAGTTACAGATGGTTGTTAACCACCATGAGCTTGTTGGGAACTGAACCTGGGTCCTCTGCAAGAGCTGCTAGTACTCTTAACCACTGAGCCATCTCTCCAGCCCCAAGCATGACTTTTAGTTTCCATTTACAGGCATAGATACTGAGGGCTAGAGGATTACTTTCTATGTTAGTAACAATGAAAGAGCAGCTGCTTAGTCTTGGACAGGTATCTTAAATTTTCTGTGCTCTAGTTGCCTCATTTTTTAAATAAAGGGCTTAGACTTTTATTTGTAAAATCATTTCCCTTGGGAAACTCTCTGACTCAACAATGATGTTACTAAAATGTAGCATGTGCAAACAATGGGGCAGTGTTATATGTATGAGGCTTAGAAGGTAAAGAAGGATACAGTCTGAAAGTAGAGGCTGAAGGGGAAGGCATCACTAAAATTCATATCCTGGGCTAGGGAAATGACTCACTTGTGAAAGTGCTTTTCTTGCAAGCACAAGGACCTGAGTCTGCTCCTCAGAACCCAAGTTGAAAAAAAAAGTGTTGGCATGTGCTTGTGGGGAGGTGGAGACAGGTGGATCTCTGGGGCTCACTGGCTACCAGCCCAGCATACTTGGTGAGCTCAGACCAGTGAGAGACCCTGTCTCAAACAGAAAATAGACTGCATCTAAAGAACAACTTCCAAGATTGTCCTCTGGATGCCATATGCAAGCACATGTATATGCACATACATATGCTTCCACACATGCACATAACACCACACACATGCAAATACATGCGTGTGCGTGCACACACACACACACACACACACACAAATTCATCACTCTCAGGAACCATAGGAGTTGATCCAAGTGCCAGGGGTGGACTACCTATGAGTTCTCAGCCAGAGCCACCACACCTCAGTATAGGCTATTGCCACTGCTGTTGGTTGTGAACTGGGTGATAAGTCCCTATTGCCAAAGACACTGCATACTTTGATTGTAGGGCATGGAGAATTCAGGTTGGATCTGAGTTAGAAGCCTCCTACCACTGGCTGGTGTTCATAGTGCTGGAGGGTGTTCTACAGGCTGCTGGAGGGGAATTATTGTCAATGGTCCTGTCAGGCTCTGGGCCCAACATGTTAACACTACCAGCACACTAGGTAAATGTGCCCACTGGTGCGATAGAGGCACAACTCTTATGGGTGCAACCAACTATTTTTCAAGTGAACTCAAGGCCTGCTCCACAGGAGAGAACCCATGTTTGGTACTGTAAGTCAGAACAAAAACCTATGACCACAGAAGTCTTAAGTTCTAGAGGGGATTGTATCACTTGTTTTTTAGTGGATATTATGTGCCTGTAAACATTTGTTTACAGCCATCTGCCACTGCTCCTGTCAGCCTTGGTGAGGGAAGCTTTTTTTTCCCCTGTAGGAGTAGTTACTGTAGAGATTCATAACTGGTTAAACTGCATAAATGAAAAAAAATGCATAAATGACTATTACTATGGCATGGTGGCCCTACACTCAGTCCACAATTGAGGAAATTACTTCAGACATCTAAATCACCCCCTCTAAGCTCAGAGAACATTGGGCAGAAAAAGCAAAAGCCAGAGGAAAGGGTGGAGTGTTGTGTGGCTGTTTTCTCTAGGTAGGACATGATTATTGCCCCCTCAGATTGAATAGCTGTGATCATTGACATGAGATCTCTCATGAAATTGTGTCCACTGACATTCCCTCTTAGGGTGGGCAGTGGCTTCTAAAGTACCTTCTCTCTCCAAGGATATATAAACAATTGGAAGAGAAGACTTTTGATGGTTTAGCTGCCCAAAGATAGCCTAACCCCTCTCCTACACTCCTGTGTACACACTCCTAAAAAACTAATTTGGTTCCCCCATAAGGCTTGAATGGAATTTTTGTTTGGTCTTCCATTGCCTTATTGATCTGGTATGAACAGAAATAGACTTCCTGGGAAACATCACACAAGCAGTTACCCTTTAGGCTTGTTCTCTGATGGCTCTAAAAAGTCTCTGATGACTTTTAGTTTGTTCAATATTTTTCTTGTTGGGATGGGAGTAAGAACTTCCAAGGCAGAAACATATGTCTCTGTGTGGTCCATTTTGGAATAAGAAGGAGCCAGCTGACCCAGATTCAGGAAGGAAAGAACCAGGGCAATTCTAGGTGCTAATGTGATGGGAGGTGCTCTTATCTCTGGAGTTCTGCCCTTGATGGGATTTAGCACCAAGGCTCAAGCTCCTCATCTCTGCCCACCTTATCTCATTTTCTAGAGAAGGACTTGAGGGGGGAATTATTCATCAATGGATCAGTCAGCTATGGTCAAGTTCACAGAGTCAAATAGTGAGCTGGAACAGGGTCTCTGTGAGGTGAAGAAGACCTCACTGTTAGATGTCCTTGTTGGAAATGCTCATGAATAGAAGGGAGAACAGGGCAAGGGAGAGAAGAAATCAACTCTCAAAGAAGGCAGTTGTTGGGTAAGAAATGGTATTACTGTCCAATCTCAAAAAGATGGAGAATGAGAACAAAACTCTGGAGTTTAAAAAAGATTTTGAGACAAGGTCTG